GGGGGGGGGGGGGGGGGGGGGGGGGGGGAATTTAGTGGATTGAGTAGTCAGCAAGAATCAACTTCATCTGCAACCTTTTTCCCATGCAAAAAACCTCTTTCCGAGTCATTTGGTTTCAAATTATTTGGCTGTCTCACAACTAAAAAATTTCCAGGTTTGGCAACAATCAGTGTGGCTTTGGATGCGGAGCTATATATCGATGACAGCGGTGAAAAAGTGGGAACAATGGTGATGAACGGTGTTCTGGAAACAAGCATTTATACGTCCAATAATCGAATTGTTGGTGTTGCTGATATACGATCTCTGAAATTAACCGATAAGCAGCAAACGCTCGGACTACCTCAGGATGCGCTCAACAATCTGGCTAACTTGGCTAAGGAGCTCCTTTCAAAGGTTGTTAACTTCCTATTCTGGAAACACTGTGCCACAACTATTAGAGTGGGATCCATACCTTCTCCCATGTTAGCATGACCTCACGAGGCCAACGTGACTTGAAAAACCCCACTCACTGGGTTGAGTGAAAGTATTGGGGTTCATTGAAAGAAAATTAGAGTGAGCAGTGGTTGGGCAGTGAAATTTTTGTTTGCCTTCTGTTTTATTGAACATTGTGGGAAACTTTCTTGTTACTGCAGGGTTAAGCCAAGGGGTCATATGGCTTGCTTCGAAAATAGTAAAACTGTTCAAAAAATTGAAATTTTTGAGGCGCCATACTGAATGAAAAGTGGGCCTGCTAAGCTTTCCAGACTGAAGCTCCATCCTGGACATCGGAAGCTTGCGGATTTGTATAAAATCTGTGCTTAATTTTAGACGGCAAACGATGCGTTGATAAAAGGATTCGTCGTCCAGCTACCAACCGCAAAATTACCGTTCTCATTTGTGCAACCGAAATTTGACATCGTTGATCACGCCATTCATCTGGCATCCGATATCCGGATCTCACCAGCTACTCTTGGAATTACCTCATCAAGCATTTGTCGGCGATTTTAGTCTTGTACTCTATATTACAACTAAAATTCCTCGAAACTTTTCGATTGCTCATTTTATTTTCATGTTAATTCAGTAGTTTGACGTTTAGCATCATACTCAAAGGTGTTTCAGCTCTATCGCTTTCAGAGAACTCGGATACGGGAATATCGTTTTTCGATAGCATTTAGGAAAAATTTGCTAGTGAAGAGATTATTAGGTAGAACAATTAGAAGACTTTTGATACTGAAAAAGTGATATCCGTTTTAAAAAAAATGTATTCCGTAGCTGGTCTTGGACTCTACTGTGTGCAAAAAAGTGAATCTGTGGAAATGTAGGGTTTAGCAATGAACAGATTTTTTAGAAACAAAACTAGAAAACCATTGCATTGGAGCATCTCATCAACTAGCATGGGCCCTGGGAATTCCTTGGGATAGAAAAGTCCACAGAATTTCAAAATTGTAATTCAACAGGTTTAGTTTAACTCTTCCGGCTCAGAATTAGCCGATTTATATAAATACTGAAGGTCCTGGCATAGCCCAATGTTTGGAAGTATTTCAGTAGCATCGCTAACATCGGATACTTACAGTGATCACCCAGGCGATATTGATATTCATAAATATATCACATTATCATGTTGATGGTTGTATTCAGAAGCGATAGAAGTGTTCTATCTTGTGGAAAAAATAAATAAATATCTGTTGATTTTTTGCGCTTAGACGTTTTGATTGCACTCGTTGTTTTGCGTTTTTGCTGCGCAGCGCTACAGACCCGTGCAAACCAAAACGCATATTGTCGTGAGCTCGCCCACGTGTGTATGTTTCAGAAGCGACTAAACTTTTTCATCGGCTTCCAACTCAGCAACCAAGAAAGCTGGGAGGCTGTAATTTTGGCAGATTTAAAACAGGTAGGACGGACTGCAGAAATTTCACATATCTGTCTTCTCTGGTTGCTGAGTTGAAAGCTGTTGACAAAATGCACCCTAAACATATACAAATACACCGGCGCTTACTCACTGAGACAAGCGTATAAGACACCTGGTTTGTTTTGCACGGACCCATCATGGGAATCGCATCTGCAGTGATTATGGGCTTTGATGTTTTGCGATGAGACTGTTCCCGAACACAATAACACCGATTTATTTTCAGCAGAAAGATCCACGCATGATTTAACAATAACTTCCGCAGAAGTAAAAGATCCATCAAAAGCAAGCTTCATTAATAGTCCAATTCTTAGTTCACTTCTCAAAATTATTCGTCTTCGCTGTCTGCATGTTAATATCCACATCCTTTCGAACCATGTTCTTTTTCTCATTAACCCCCTGTCACATTCTGATTCTTCCTGGTTTTTCCTCTTCTGGGATACCACTTCTTGGATACCACCTATTGATTTTCGACTGAAGTAAAAGATCCACGAATGATTTAATAATAACTCCCGCAGAAGTAAAAGACCCATCAAAAGCAAGCTTCATGAATAGTTCAATCCTTAGTTCACTTCTCAAAATTACTCGTCTTCGCTGCCTGCATATTTATGCCCACATCCTCTCGAATCATGTTCTTTTTCTCGTTAACTCCTTGTCACGGTCTGTTTCTTTCTGGTTTTTCTCCTGGGATACCACTTTTTTCCGGATTCTCATTTTTAGATTTCCTGCCCGTTGGTTTCCGTTTTTCTTCATCCTTTTCGCGTTCTTTTCCCGCACTCCACACTCTCCGCCGTCGCTTTCGTTCTTGAACCCAATTATGCAGTGATGCACGAGCAGCACTTGCCACATTAGACCATAACAAGAAGCTCGTTGCGTCAACGTTCCTCGAAAGATGTTCGCTACGCCGCCGGCTGCGAGTAGAAGAAATTGCAGAATGGCTGCGTCGGCACAACTGTTCTTTTTTATGTGACTAAGATCAGGACAAAATCTGACTTTTCTTGTAATCTATGCGAAATTCTTTCGTTCGCAAATTTACATATCACCTTTTGGACCTTTATGCGTATTGTGTGAGTATTAATTAGCAATCAGCTGCAAATAACAGCGTTGCAGTTGATACTGAAGGCCAAGTTTAAAAGATTTTGGTTTCTTTCTTGTTTCTTTGCAAGAAATATCGATAGGTACCGTGGCCATACCAAGTTATGAACTACCGTATACAGTAGAGTGTTCGTTGTCACTCGCTTTCATTCCAGCAACTAAAAATGTTAGGAAACTGAAGTAACGGGGATGTATTCTCACTCCATGCGCTAATCTGACGTTTTAAAGTCTACATCCATGTGGGTCCAAATTTTGCGTAGGACCCCTGAAAAAATGTGTAAATTTTCTCGCGAAAAACAATTTCGGGAGCTAGGCAAGATAAAAAGCTGAACGTTGCAGGGACATTCCCTACGTATGCATGAGTTAAAGTTTTCGAATTTAGCTTTCGCGCACACTTGCGTTGCACGTATGATAGCACTATGACAACTTGAAAACTTGCCAAAAGATGATAGTTGGAATTTTACCAGGATATTTATCATTCAACTGGGGAAGACCGTGCTTGACCAACCGCGAGCGAAAAAAGCACTCACTTTGGCACTAACGTACGAACACGTGAAATTTGAGGTAACTCTGCAACCAGAGCAGCTGGAGCGTTTAAACTTTCTGAGCGCTACCCAAGACCGTACTTGACCAACCGCGAGCGAAAAAAGCACTCACGTTGGCACTCACGTACGAACACTTG